AGAAATCAGAGTGTCGTAGTTCGGCTCAAAAGTTATCGTTTGTTTTCGTGGATAATGATGCATTTGCATCCTTACGGTTAGGATTACAATTTGTGCTTGGCATTGCAGCTTTTAAAAAGACTCATGCTCGGCCCCTCACACACTTAGCATTTCCAAGTTGTTCTAATTTGAAACAACACATCCTTATTGAAAAGGTTTAAAAGGGAAAAAAGATCCGAAGATAAAAAAGTTTGCATTGGTTTGTACTTTTTATTGTGAAATAATTTGTGACTTGAACCATAATAAAGTCCAAAAGTGAAAATAGAGCGGGACTCAGTCTAAACTGATTCGCTCTACCCTACAAGACTCAACTTCATATGGTTCGCGTCTTCTTTTATTAAGTGTTTTGTAATTTCCAAAGAAAATGAGTATTTTGATCTAATCTTTGATTAACAGTTATGAGACTAAGTCTCAAACATTACTAACAAAATACAAAGATTTCTTTCTCTGTTTAAAGAATTTTGCAGGTATCACTAAACTCTGGAAGTTTAATCATCTGAACATCATCTTCAAAAGACTTGCTGAAAAAATCCTAAAAGAAAAATCTAAAAGCTCTGAAGAAAAATCTCAGGAAGTTTTTCTTATACATCTATTTTTTCCAGAAGAAGAAATATTTATTTCAGGGGGAGATTCTTATCTCTTTGTTCAATTTTTTTTCAAAACCTGAATATTTTTGTCATCATCAAAAAGGGGGAGATTGTTAGAACAAGTTTGGTTCTGATCATATCTCAGAGTTTTGATGATAACAATAAAATATATTTTGTATAATTGATACTCTGATGATCATATTTCTTTGTTTCAGATAATATTCTGACTGAAGTATTTTCTAAGGTGAAAATCATTTTACGTGCTGAGCTGAATAAAAATAAAGAAGTTCTTTGATGAAAGAACTATTTATTAAGTGCAAGTTCTGACGCTGGCTCTGATAAGAAGCAACTTAAAGCATCCTCTAATCTTAGCAAATTTCCATGCAAACTCTGTTCAGAAGTATTTTGCAAGCAAGCTCTGATGAGAAGTTATTTGCAAGAAAATTATGAAGCAAGATCTGAAGCAAGTTCTGAAAGATTAAAGAAGCAAACAGTCTTGTCAAGTTTCAGGAAACAAGCTCTGATAGTACCGTTTGTTCATTTAATGCAAAGACGGCTAAAGCACTCAAGTGTCTCTACGCTAGTTCTTTGAAAGAAACAATTATGTAAGCCAACACACAAACATTAATTGCTCCTCACTTTTAAAGGAAGTAACAGTCGTTTTCCTCATGCTATAAATAGAATATCATTTATTGCAAGCCAACTACTCAACAAAAAAAAAACCAAAGAAACATCTTACGTGAAAATTATTCTGCTGCTCACAAATTTATTTGTTATTTTCTCAAGAGCAAAACTTATCTTAGTGATAAATCACAGTTTATGATATAGCTTTCTAAGAAGAAATTTGTTTCACTATTGTAAAGATTTAATTCTTGTATTTGTTCCTTGAGAGACCAAGTTTGGTCAGATTTCTCAAGAAGGCTAAGACTAGTTTGAGTCTTAGTGGTGTTAGTCACTTGTAAGTTTACTTGTGCTTTGTATTGTTAGTCACAACAGTTTGGTTGTGTGATTGTAATTTGTTTGATTATAGTAAATTAAGTCCTTGTTGAGAAAGGCGAAATCATCTTGGCGGGTGGACTGGAGTAATTTGAGTTCAAATGAACCAGGATAAAAATAATTGTGTCTTTCCATAATTGTTGAGCTAGTAAGAAAAAGAAAAAGGAAAAACTTATTCAACCCCTCATTCTAAGTGTTTTCTCACCCTTCAATCCCTCCTACCGCTACTGAATACGTTTCTTCTATTCTCAAGGTTACCAGGGTTCCACCCAGGATGGCTGTTTGAAGGATGCTAGAGCTGTAGTGGAAGAAGGTGGTTGCACTACTTGGGGTCAGCTTCCTGACATTCCATATGAATATGACAAATTTGGTTTGGGTTTTACTACAGAGGATCAAAGGGATATTCGTCGTACGCATGCCGGAAGACCACCATTCCACGTCAACAATAATGGAGTCAATGATATAGAAGATGCTGACAATGATTATGACCTCGACAGTTGGATCTTTCCTACCACCGGCATTAGATTCAGCAACTAGAAGACTAAAGACCTTATCTCAATCTTCATTAGTCAGGAGTAATTGCTATTTTCTGTTTCTTTCAAAGTTTTGGTTATGTAATCTTTAAACAATGACTTTAAGCCTCGTGTCTTACCCGGGGCACAACGTTTCATTTTTTAGGGTTGTCGTCTTTCATAAGCATATTTTCATTTAATAAATCATTGGACGTTTTGCATTCAAATTTTGTGCTCTTTGTCTTTCTTTTTACTTTATTACACTTTCAAAATAGCTATGAGTTCTTATACGCACCCACACAATAAATTTCAGATCCACATCTACTATGGATACCCTTGATAACAATTCTGCTATTTCCACTTATGACTTTGAAAATCCGATCTACCGAGCCGAAGACGAAGGTGAGGAAGATTTCGAAGTACCTGGAGAGCTTGCTAGGATGTTAATGCAAGAAGAAAGAGCCATAAAACCGCATGAAGAGCCAGTCGAGGTTGTGAACTTGGGTGCTTGAGAGGACAAGAAAGAGGTCAAGATAGGTGCAAATCTAGAAGACAGTGTCAAGAACAGGATAATTCAGATGTTACATGATTATGTTGAGATATTTGCTTGGTCGTACGAAGACATGCCAGGGCTCGATACTAATATTGTGGTTCACCGTCTGCCGATGAAAGAGGGTTGTTCTCCAATAAAGCAAAAGATTCGTCGTATGTGTCCCGAGATGTAAGAAAATATCAAGGCTGAGGTTATGAAGAAATTCAACGCATGTTTCTTAGTTGTTACATCCTATCCTCAGTGGGTTGAAAATGTGGTTCCGGTACCAAAGAAAGATGGCAAAATGCGTATGTGTGTGGACTATAGGGATCTGAACAGGGCAAGTCCAAAAGATGATTTTCCGCTTCCACATATTGATGTTTTGGTTGATAACACCGCTCAACATAAAGTATTTTCTTTTATGGATGGTTTCTTAGGTTATAATCAGATCAAGATGGCACCTGAAGACATGGAGAAGACTACTTTTGTTACACAGTAGGGCACTTTATGTTACAAGGTTATGCCTTTTGGGTTGAAGAACACCAATGCGACATATCGGCATGCTATGGTAGCTTTGTTCCATGGCATGATACACCACGAGATAGAGGTTTACTTCGACGACATGATAGCCAGGTCTCAGACTGAAGAAGAACATCTTGACCATTTACACAAGCTGCTTTAGATACTGAAGAAGTATAAGCCGAGGTTGAATCCGAACAAATGCACCTTTGGGGTAAGATACGATAAACTCTAGGTTTCGTCGTCAGTAGAAAAGGTATTGAAGTTGCTCCTGCCAAGGTTAAAGCTATTCAAGAAATTCCAGCTCCCCGTACCGAGAAGGAAGTCAGAGATTTCCTGGGATGTTTGAATTATATTGCCAAATTTATTTCCCATCTGAACGCTACTTCATTCGCTTCAGCTTCCAAGACTAGATTGTTTGTTTCTTCTACCTTTTTTTCGACTCGACAATACTTTGCAAGATGTCCCACTTTATCACAGTTATAGTATTTGTAGGAATTGCAATCTTTTGCGTAATGACCATACTACCCACACTTATAACATTCAAAGTTGGAGTGGTTCGATCAACCACCTCTTTGACCACGTCCTCTGCCACGCCAATTTTGTTGGTTCGAATGTCCTCTGTCGAAGTTGCTGCCTCGACCACTTCGACCACTGTCACGACCTCCACGGCCTCGTCCTCTTCCTCGAAAGTTTTGAGAAAAGAGTACCTTTTCATCTTTGATCGAATCCTTGGTTTGGTTTTCTTCTTCGACTCTTTCTTCCTTCTTCTTCATCTTACGTTGTTCATGTGCATGTAATGAGTTCTCAAATCTAAAATGTGTATTAATTCTTCATTATTTATTTTAGTTTTATTTTGTCTAAAAATATTAATTAGCCTTGTATTCTTGTTAAAATATTAATAGAAAAACTTTAATATTTTTTTAATATTTTTTATTATTATTTAAATATTTTAAAATATTAACATATTATGTTATTTTATTTAATATATTGAAATGTACTGAATTCAGTTTTCTTATTTATATAAAATATTTTAATAACCATTAAAAAAATTTATGTTATTATTATTTTTTTAAGTAAATAAAGTATCAGAGACTATTTTAGTGACTGAATTAATACAAAACTAAATTCTATAGACATGAAACCGGTTATAATTTTAGTCACTAAAAGAGTCACAAATTCGATCGCTAAGTATCGGTCATAAATTTTGTCGCTAAAGGATAGCAACTAGCACTTTTTTTTACCGATTTTAATGCTTTTTTTATCATTAATTCGATCACTAAAAACGAATATTCTATTAGTGTATTTTGAACACCTTTAAAAAATGTGACTGAGACAACATCGATGAAAATATAGAATATAAAGATAACAATTTTTAAAATAAAAATGATTTGATATTCCTTTCATATAATATTAAATTTTATGTTGATAGAATAATAAGAGTTATTATAATTCTAAATATATAGAGTAAAATTTTATGAAATTTTTTCAAAATTTAACAAATAAAAAAGTGAGTATTAAAAATAATGTGCAAGAGAATATATCGTAATACTTATTATGAATTATTATTTAAAATTCATCAAAATCTTTTAAATATTATAATATAATCTTTTGAAATCCAAAGAAATCTTCATAATCATAATCTTTTTAAATCTTCCAAGTTATGTAAATATTCAAATTTTAGAATCCTAATCCAAGATATATAAGGTAAAGGAGAAACCCTAAATATAAGGTAAAGGAGAAACCCTAAATATGACCTAAACCTACCTCTTCTCTTGTTTTATTACTGTGATCAGAATTAGGGAACCAGATATGATGTCTTCTAGGCGTTCAATTCCAACTATGGACAGAATTAGTGAATTGCCAGATTCAATTCTATGTCAAATTCTCTCCATACTCCCAACCAAACTCGTTGCATCCACAAGTCTTCTCTCTAAGAGATGGAGAAATGTATGGCTCTCGATTTTCACTCTAAACTTTAATGATGAAAGCTTCAAAAACTTTGAAACCTTTCAGAAATTTGTTTACTCAACCATGTTCTTGCTACGAGACCAAAAGAATTCAATTCATTCGTTTACTCTGAAACTAGGTAACTCTTCTGGCTTCAACCAACAACAATTCAACAGAATTTTTAAATTTGTGATGCAACGAGGAGTGCAAAATATTGACTTCAACATGTCTGATAAAAAGCGTGCTATCAAATTACCTCTTTGTATTCTCAATGTTAAGACACTTACCGTTCTTAAATTGGAAAACATTAAAATAAGGGATTCTGATCAAGTGGATTTTCCTCGTCTCAAAACCCTTTATTTTGATAGAGTTTATTTTTCATCTTTGGACTATTTTGTCAAGTTTCTAAATGGTTGTCCTATTCTAGAAGATTTGAATACAAAATCAATTTTAATCTGGCATCTCAAGTTACATCTTCCCACCGAAAACTTGAACTCTTTACCTAATTTGGTCAAAGCAAGTATTTGTTATGATATGCATAATTTCATGACTTTGGTTTCTAAGGTCAAGATTTTGCATTTACAAAAGGTTTGAACATTAAGATTTAAATTTTTATTGCATTTTTGCCCTTTGCATTGAGAAATTAACTATTTTATTTTATTTTTCATTGGGTGCAACTCATGCAGTGGAGACTGACAGGGACAACACTTCCCATGTTTCACAATTTGACTCACTTAAAACTTTCTTTTAATTCCACCATATGGAGTATGGAATGCAAGCCCTTGATAGGGATATTTTCACATTTCCCAAATCTTCAACATTTTAACATCGAGGTACGTTGATGTTTATTAATATAATTTCCCTTTTTTCTATTATTATAATTTCATGCATTTTAGTTCTTATTTTTTTAAAATATTGACAGAATTATCGGGATGCAACAAATGGAATAAATACTTGTTCTACTACATGTTTGAAGGATGATCCTAGTCCAACCATTGTTCCGGAATGTCTTTCGTTACAACTTAAAACATTTAGCATGAAAGGTTATGCAGGCAGACACTGTGAGTTCAAATTAGTACAATATATTATGCAGCACTCAAAAGTACTTGAGACAATGATAATTAAGACAACCCACCTTAAAGAGTGTAACAAATATAAAATGTTACTGAAATTATCTTCATGTTCAAGAGGCTCTCCAACATGTAAACTTATATTTGATTGAAAGTGACAATTACGTTTTGGTTTTTCTGTTTGAAGATTGTGTAGTGTTTTTTCATGAAATAACTTTGATTACATGGATCGGTTTCCTTACATGTAAACATGGCTAAAGAGAAAGAACATGAACCAAAATAAAAAAGGGCTGTTAAAATACATCACCATAGCATAAAAACTGTTCATGTAATATATGTCACATTGAATTGTTTTAGATATATTGTTTTACTTGTTTTTTGAGTAAACCAATGTTTTAATTTTTTAATAATGAAAGTCCATTTAATTGAGATGACTTGCTATTACTTATTTACTTACTGACATTCTTAAAAAGAGTAACTCATTCTTTCTGGTTTTCTATTGGCAACAAGTTTTACCAAAAGTTGCAAACATCAAATCTTGAGCATAACTACTTCACTGTATGTACTTATGCCACACATATATAGTTCTTCTATATTGAAATCTAAAATTGCATTTAGAAGCATTGAATTAAAAAATAGGTGTAGTATATGGTTCTTAATTATGTTTAAATTATTTATATATTATTAATCCTCATTAAATATGTTTTTTTTTATTTATTTCGTATTTCTTTAAAATATCATCAATTGTTCAATATTTATAGATAAAAGATACTATATTTATATATATTTAATTTTTTATAATGAACAACATTATATATAACAATCTTGAATTTTTTTTAAAACTATCGATTTTGTTAGTCGGATTAAGACTTGCGTACATGGTTTTATTCTGCTCGAAAGATTAATCTATCCACTTGTGCATAGTGGATAACTGATTTTCTAAAAAAAATCAAGACTTGCATACAGTTAAATCAATTTTTAACTCTACTACAAAAATTTATGATATATTTAATATCTTATATCACAGTAAAAATTCAAAATAAATTGGATCCTTAATCCATCACTATTAAAAAAATTCGTTTTTAGTGACCGATTTAGAGATTAAATTTTTGTTGTCACTCTAGCTACCGTATTAGCCACCAAAATTTAACAATTTATTTTTGCCATAACAGTCAGGGATCGAGCGAAGAGCATTCTTATTTTTGAGACTTTCCATTTGAGTAACACGTATTTGTGGGAGTCACACCACTTGTCCACATAAAACCTTAAAGTGATAGGTGAGTGGGTTAATCCACTTATAAATGTCGATGTCACCACATTCCTATTCAATATGAAACTATTTTTCCCACATTCACATTTGTAATATTCTTAACACTCCCCCTCAAGTGTGAGTCGACAATGCTCCCCCTTAAGTGGAAGCTCTCTCTTTCACATACACTTGTACCGTTGTTGGACACTCTTCAACAACACACTCTACTCACATACGTGACACTTACTCCCGACCATGTGGAGATATTTTCGATACAAGTAAGTTGATTCCTTTCTCGAACCAAAGACTTATGATATCATTTGTTGGCGCAACAATCAGGAGGTCGAGCGAGGGACATTTTTATTTTTGGAACTTTCCATTTGAGCAACACAACTTTGTGGGAGACACGTCATTTGTCCATCTAAAACCTTAAGATAATAGTTGAGTGGGTTCTCCTACTTATAAATTCTCATGTCACGATATTCCTATCTAATGTGAGATATTTTTCTCATACTCACACTTACTACATTCTCAACACTTATAAATAAATTTTCAATCGTCAGTTAAATCTGACACAAAATAAAATAAGCCACCAAATTAGTGGCTGAATTTTAGTCACAAATACTTTAAACTATTGTATATAATGTCATTATTGATTAAATTAGTGACTGGACTTTTCTATTTTTTAAAAGATTTTAATTCTATCGCGATTTTAACTTTTCAGTTAAAAATTTACTTTTTTTAATTAATTTTTTTTTCCGTTATTGTTCTAACAAAAATATATATATATTTATAAAAAAAACATTGACAACATAGTAAATTTATTAATTTTATAAAAAATGTCATTAGTGAAATTGTGTCTTTGTAATTTTATTCTGTGTAAAAAAAATTACAGAAATTTTTTTTCTCTTTTTTATTTATAAAGCAAAAAAGCATGTAAATTTTTTTTAGATATATTTATGAGTTTAAGGGACATATACAGTCAATGTATTTTTTTTTACAGAGTCATCCAATAAGAAATCATGAATATGTGAAATCATTTAAGTTTTTTTAATTTATCAAAATGACGTGTGGAATATACGTCTGTTATTGGATAACTGTATAAAATTCATGTTCCTCTTGTTTTCAGATGTTTTTGTTGGGAATTCATGTTCTGTTGTTTGAGGAGAAACTCTACTGGGGAATACTGGCTTGTTTAAGAAGAGTCTGTGGAGAGTGCTGATCTCTGCTTGGGAAAAGAATTTAGAAGTTTTGATTGTTTAATGCTCTACTGGGGAATTATTCATGACTGGAGAGCATCGGAAACTGGCTGTTATCTGGTCGAAATCTAGAACAGAAGGAAATGGTGAAAAGAATAGAAAAAGACCTTTTTCGAGAGTTTCTGAGTAAGGGAGGTAGATTATGGAAAGAAAAGGTGTTAGCATCCTTTTTATCCGTGGTTTTCCACGGGCTCTTAGAGGTTTGCTCATTTTTAAAATACCTTTATGCTTTGTGTTTGATAATGTTTTGAAAACGTCTTAGTACGGCGAACTTTGTAATGTTTCTCGGGATAGTGGAGAAAGTATACAAAGTGTTTTGAAATGTCTTTTGAAAAGTAGTTTTTGTGTAAGTGCAAAATTTTTTAGCAAACTTCTAACAGCTATCTACTTTTATACTTAAAAAGGGTCGTTCATTCATTTTAAACATTTTCTTCATTCATTCAAATCTAACATTTTTGGAAGTATTAATATATATGAGGGAGGGTGTGAATTGGGCCAGCATGATCAGTCTGGTCGAAAAGAGCATACAATATACTACCTTAGTAAAAAGTATACCGACTGTGAACACAAGATATTCACTGCTCGAAAAAACTTGTTGTGTTTTGGCATGGGTTGTTATCCAACTAAGACAGTATAATTTGACCCATACTACTTTGTTGATCTCTAAAATTGATCCCATAAAATACATATTCGAGAAACCCGCTCTCTCTTGAAGAATATCCCGATGGGAAATGGTCTTAACAGAATACGACATTCAGTACACCACTCAAAAGTCAATCAAAGGAAGTGTACTGGCAGATCATTTGGCTCATCAAGCCATAGACGACTATCAATCTATGAATTTCGATTTCCCAGATGAGAACATTATGCTAGTTACAGATTATGAAGAACCTGGACCATAGGAAGGACCTGAGCCAGGATCCTGATGGACTGTGGTTTTTAATGGAGCTTCCAATGCACTTGGTAATGGAATTTGTACTGTGATTATCTCTCCCAATGGTTGCCATACGCCTTTCATCACCAGATTATGCTTTGACTGTACCAATAACATGGTCGAATACGAAGCGTGCATCATGGGTATCAAAGCTACTATTGATCTAAGAATCAAGCTTTTAAATGTATATGGGGACTCAGCCTTAGTCATCAGTCAAATCAAGGGATAATGAGATACGGAGCATCCAAATATCATTCCTTACTGAGAGCATATGTAGACCTTAATTCCACACTTCGAGGAAATCATTTTTTAACATATTCCACGGGAAGAGAATCAGCTGGAGGATGCATTGGCTACTATGTCATATATGTTCAAAGTCAGATGGGACAATGAGGCTTCTCGAATTACCATTAAGAGTCTGGACGAACCGGAACACTGTTACAAAGTTGACACTGACGGAATAGAAGAGAATCCTTGGATTCATGAAGTGAAGAGATACCTCGAGGCTCAAGAATACCATGAAGGAGAATCTATCAATGATAAGAAATTCCTACGGAGGTTATCTGCAAAGTTCTTCCTGAGAAACATAATTTTGTACAAGCACAACCATGATTCGACTCTGCTTCACTGTGTAGACAAGAAGGAAACAGAGAAAATTATAGAAGATGTGCGCGAAGGAGTCTTTAGAAAACACTCTAGTGGGCATACGATGGCCAAGAAGATTTTGAGAGCAGACTACTATTGGTCAACCATAGAAACTGATTGCCATCACCACTCAAGAACTTGTCACAAATGCCAAATTCATGCTGACAAGGTACACGTGCCTCTGGTCCCTCTGAATGTCTTAACTGCTCCTTAGCCATTCGCAATGTGGGACATTGATATGATTGGAGAAATAAAACCTACTACTTCTAATGAATATCGTTTCATCCTTTTCACCATCGTTTACTTCACGAAGTGGGTTGAAGCGGCCTCATTTGTCTCTGTTACCAAGAATGTGGTGGCCTGGTTTATTAATCATAACCTCATTTGTCGATATGGCATCCCTGAAAGGATTATCACGGACAATGGTACCAATCCCAATGTAACGCCCGTAATTTAATTAATTATTTAATTAAATTATTTTTGGAATAATTGTGAAGAAGTGTTATTAATTGGATTTATTTTATTAAGTGGAGAAATAATAATATATTTGAGGTATTATATTATTATGTGAAATAATGTTAGAAGCTAATATTATTTAATGTGGGCCTATATGGTGTGAGTGGAAGTAATAAGGGGGTGTAGGTTTTGGAGCCCAATAAGGAAGAATATAATAATATTAGGTTATTTTATTATTTGTTGTTAGAATAGAATGAAGAAGCAGTAAGAAGAGAAATAAGGATTTGAGAGAACGTGAAGCTGCTGGATTTTGAAGGAAACGGCAAGAACGAAGAATTCAACCCGGAAATTGTAGAGCGACCTTTGATCCAAGGTAAGGGTGGAGTTCTGGCTTTATAATTGGTGTTGTACCCCAAAATTTTCCCTCCCTTTTTCACAAGAAATCACAACCTCGGGGTTTTCACTGATTTTGTTGAGATTGACTCAGGAATCGATCAGACAGATCTTTCTTTGGCAGTAATCCAAAATTAGGGTTTTCACTGATTTTGTTGAGATTGACTCAGGAATCGATCAGACAGATCTTTCTTTGGCAGTAATCCAGGATTAGGG